CTTCACATTTGTTTAAGAGAGATATGGTACTTGGAATAAAGGAATCAATGTACGGGCTCTCTTAGTTTTCACAATTGGAACTTTGTATCGGCGTCCTGAAGGGAGAAGGTTGTATTCCGAATTTAAGTAGTGAGTACGGTCAGATATGATTTTGACAGCTTGATTCACGATTTGCCGCTCATATATTGATGATATAGCCTAGTGGTTAAAGCGTTCGATCATCACGTCGAAGACCCAGGTTCGATTCCTCACAATGTGTACAATGTGTGAGGCACATTTCTGGTGTCCGCCACCGTGACATTGCTGGAATATTGCTAAAAGCGGTGTAAAATTAATCTCACTCACTCACTCATTCTCAGACCTATGGGCTGTTGTTGGCACAAGTTCACGTCTGACCCCCTACTCAACTAGGTGTCCATTCTATAAGGTTACTGTGTACTGTATATGACCATAGTTAGGCCGATCTCATAGATAAGCTGAGGTCCGAACTGGACCTTTCAATTAAGTATCAACCTGGTATGTTCCCTACATTAGTCGAACCACCAGCCTTCCACCTACATCTTCAGTCTTTAGCAATAGTGTCAACAAATCCATATTGAATTACTCGAGTAAATCTTGTTGTTACACAATCACATAATGAAACATGTTCTTTGCATATCTGGACTTGTGTTAGTAATCTAGTTATTGATTTTACTCAAAATGTCATTCAATAACAATCATATATTATTTGCCGTCTTAACACACAGCATGAAAAATGTTCAAAAACAAAACAAGCATCAAGCATCTTTAATCACATACTTCAGCATACAGTATCACAATAACAACTTGGCTATGGAGAAAACTATCAGCAATATTTTACAGCTGAACATTTACAAACATCAATGAATGACAAGACTTGAGTGAGTGAGTGAGTGAGTTGGGTTTAATGCCGCCTTGGAATCGTATTTCAGTTATATAGCGGCATGTCTGCTTAATCAAATTGGAAAATGAGTGAGTGAATGAGTTGGGTTTTATGCCGCTTTTAGCAATACTCCAGCATATCACGGCAGGGGACACCAGAAATGGGATTCTTACATTGTACCCATGTGGGGAATCGGACCCGGGTTTTTGGCGTGATCAGGGGTGGAAATAACTTTAAAATTGCTAGTGTACTCCGGTACAGTGGCACATGTAAAATCACTTGCCCTGATAATTTTTCCACTATACCGGCCTTTTCTTGTTGATTTTTTAAATAAACAACATAATTAATATTGGAAAGTCAACTGGACACCGGTACAGTGTGATACACAAATTTGCTTGCCTGACAGAAAATAACACTGGACTTAGGCGTCGGGCAATGGGTTATTTCCACCCCTGGTGATGAGTGGACGCTTTAACCACTAGGCTACCCCACCGTCCAGAGTGAGTGAGTAAGCGAGCGTGTGAGTGAGTTTAGTTTATGCTGCACTTAGCAATATTCCAGCTATATGACTGCGCTCTGTAAATAATCGAGTATGGACCAGACAATCCAGTGATCAACATCATGAGCATCGATCTACGCAACTGAGAACCAATGACATGAGTCAACCCTGTCAGCGAGCCTGATCACACGATCCTAGAAGTCGCCTCTTACGACAAGCTTGGATTACTGAAGATCAGTTCTAACCCAGAACTTCACAGGTCCACCCCCGTAGTGATGTAGGTCGCAGACGTTTACCATTTTGTTGAAACTCTGATGAGAGGTATGGTGCTGACAAACAGGGTCACACCGGGATTCAAACCCAGGATCAAAGGTTTCTGGTTGTCCAAAAGATGCATCTGTGCACAGCAAATTGAAAAACCTTAGATGACTGGGGCACCATGACCCTCAAGAAGACTTGAAGATACTTAGTCTAGACTAAAGATTAAGGTCATTATCACAGTTACTTTTAATTTACCCTTCAGTATGCCATACCTCCATGTTCACATGGCCACCACTTGAATACAATATTTACCCCTACTCTGGAGCAAACAGGAGGTTACAAACCCTGTCAGTAAATCTTTGTAATTGTAACTTTGCAATATACAATTAATTGACATAATCATTTATTATCTAAACCAAGCTTCCCTTGGAGATGTTACTATAATGAATTGCACCCGTGACAGTACCTTGCTGACCATTTTGATGTCATCTGTTACCATGATGTCACAATCAAATGACGTCACTAATCTGCCACTGAAGCTGGTTAGATGTACTTTTGCTTCCCTGAAAGACATCGGTTGCAATGAGTTATCTCTGCCAGTTTGGTGCTGAATGTATTCGCAGGAACTGAGGAGGTGTAGGGGATCCTACCAAGCGCAAATTATTTTGTTTGATATGGCTTGGGCCCTATACTAAATATGACTGGTATTGTTTATGGAGTGACTTGAGGACCCATCTTAGGCCCATATTGAATATGTCTGTCGTGTGACTCATCCCAGGACAAATCTTGGGCCCATACTAAATATGACTAGTGTAAATTATTGAGTGACAAGAGGAGGCCATCTTGGGCCCATACTGAATATGACTGAAGTGAAATGTACTGAGTGATTTCAGGACCCATCTTAGGCCCATACTGAATATAAGTGACTTTTGCAATGTACTTTTGCATTGTTTATTTAGTGATGCCATTTTACTATGTTTGATGTTATTGCAACTTATCAACAGTTGATCAGATCCAGACTGCAGCTTATCAACAGTTGATCAGATCTAGACTGTAACGTATCAACAGTTGATCAGATCCAGACTGCAGCTTATCAACAGTTGATCAGATCCAGACTGTAATGTATCAACAGTTGATCAGATCCAGACTGTAGCTTATCAACAGTTGATCAGATCCAGACTGTAACTTATCAACAGTTGATCAGAACAGTTGATCAGATCCAGACTGTAACTTATCAACAGTTGATCAGATCCAGTTGACTGATCAACTGTAACTTATCAACAGCTGATCAGACTGTAACCTATCAACAGTTGATCAGATCCAGACTGTAACTTATCAACAGTTGATCAGATCCAGACTGTAACTTATCAACAGTTGATCAGATCCAGACTGTAACTTATCAACAGTTGATCAGATCCAGACTGTAATGTATCAACAGTTGATCAGATCCAGACTGTAACTGTATCAACAGTTGATCAGATCCAGACTGTAACTTATCAACAGTTGATCAGATCCAGACTGTAACTTATCAACAGTTGATCAGATCCAGACTGCAACTTATCAACAGTTGATCAGATCCAGACTGTAACTGTTATCAACAGTTGATCAGATCCAGACTGTAACTTATCAACAGTTGATCAGATCCAGACTGTAACTTATCAACAGTTGATCAGATCCAGACTGTAACTTATCAACAGTTGATCAGATCCAGACTGTAGACTATCAACTTGATCAACAGTTCAACAGTTGATCAGATCCAGACTGTAACTTATCAACAGTTGATCAGATCCAGACTGTAACTTATCAACAGTTGATCAGATCCAGAGACTGTAACTTATCAACAGTTGATCAGATCCAGACTGTATCAACAGTTGATCAGATCCAGACTGTAACTTATCAACAGTTGATCAGATCTGTAAGAGTTGATCAGATCCAACTGTAACTTATCAACAGTTGATCAGATCCAGACTGTAACTTATCAACAGTTGATCAGATCCAGACTGTAACTTATCAACAGTTGATCAGATCCAGACTGTAACTTATCAACAGTTGATCAGATCCAGACTGTAACTTATCAACAGTTGATCAGATCTAGACTGTAACTTATCAACAGTTGATCAGATCAGATAACTTATCAACAGTTGATCAGATCCTGACTGTAACTTATCAACAGTTGATCAGATCCAGACTGTAACTTTATCAACAGTTGATCAGATCCAGACTGTAACTTATCAACAGTTGATCAGATCCAGACTGTAACTTATCAACAGTTGATCAGATCCAGACTGTAACTTATCAACAGTTGATCAGATCCAGACTGTAACTTATCAACAGTTGATCAGATCCAGACTGTAACTTATCAACAGATGATCAGATCCAGACTGTAACTTTATCAACAGTTGATCAGATCCAGACTGTAACTTATCAACAGTTGATCAGATCCAGACTGTAACTTATCAACAGTTGATCAGATCTGTAACTTATCAACAGTTGATCAGATCCAGACTGTAACTCTATCTTGATCAACAGATGTAATCTGATCTAGACTGTAACTTATCAACAGTTGATCAGATCCAGACTGTAACTTATCAACAGTTGATCAGATCCAGACTGTAACTTATCAACAGTTGATCAGATCCAGACTGTAACTTTTCAACAGTTGATCAGATCAAGACTGTAACTTTTCAACAGTTGATCAGATCCAGACTGTAACTTATCAACAGTTGATCAGATCCAGACTGTAACTTATCAACAGATGATCAGATCCAGACTGTAACTTATCAACAGTTGATCAGATCCAGACTGTAACTTATCAACAGTTGATCAGATCTAGACTGTAACTTATCAACAGTTGATCAGATCCAGACTGTAACTTATCAACAGTTGATGATCAGATCAGACTGTCAACTTGATCAGACAGATGATCAGATCCAGACTGTAACTTATCAACAGTTGATCAGATCCAGACTGTAACTTATCAACAGTTGATCAGATCCAGAATGTAACTTATCAACAGATGATCAGATCCAGACTGTAACCTATCTACAGTTGATCAGATCCAGACTGCAGCTGATCAATGGTTGACCAGATTTGGATAATAATTCATAAAATCTGTATCACATCCATAATGACAGGTTTCAAAATTTGACCAGAGCTACACACAAACATGTTGACATGAAATTACTTAAAGAGCATGTTCAGTGGGGTTTCCACTGTATTTGCCACATTGAACATTATATTGCCACTAGACAACTAATACATACTGCAAAGTGATAAATTATATCTGTGTTCTGAATATCCCAGCTTTATAGTGAGGCAACTAGAATATCACCACAGACCAGACCCAGGAAATATTGTACTGTATGTGCCGTAATAAACACCCTGGACAAAAAACAGAAAACTGACAAAAGCCCTTGGGAAGCTTATTCAAACCAGCAAGAGATCGACTTGGTTAAAATGTTAGAATAGTGAGTATGTTGAGTGAGTATGGTTTTACGCTGTTTTCACCAATATTCCAGAAACATCATGGCAGGGAACACCATATATGGGCTATAAATGTTTTACCCATGTGGGGAATCGATCCTGGGTTTTCAGTATGACAACATAAGTATGACAGCTTTAACCACTGGGCTACCCCAGGTATATACCCCAGAAAATAAGGTCTTTCATGCAAGGTTTCCATCTTTTTAGGAGCACTTATAGAAATTGATTACAGATTGGTCTAGAAGTTGGTCAGAAGCATATTGGAGTAAAGCGCTTAATTTGGCATATTTGGTAAATGAAATGACTATCATCACAACAATTGTAGCACAATGTTCCACAGGACGTTCAGGCTCTTTTCACTTGGGGTGGTGGGGTAGCCTAGTGGTTAAAGTGTTCTCTCGTCACACCGAAGACCCATGTTCGATTGTACATGGATACAATGTGTGAAGCCTATTTCTGGGGTCCTCTGCTGTAATATTGCTGTAATATTGCTGGAATATTGCTCAAAGAGGAGAAAAAACATACTCACTCATTCGCTCAATCTCTTTCAGTTGTTACAAAGTTGATCATACTTGTGTTTGTTTTGCTTGTTTGTTGTTTAATGCCACACTCAACACTATTTATCTACATGATAGTGGTCTGTAACATAATCCAGTGGTTGACGTCATGAGCATCGACCTATGCATTGAGATGCGATGACATGTGCCAACCATGTCAGTGAGCCTGACAACCCGATCCCATTAGTAGCCTTGTATGACAAGCATCATGGGTTGCTCAAGATCAATTTTAATTCGAGTCTTCATGGATTTATGCTTGTTGTTAAGCTGGTAGTAAAGATCCCTATATACATGTCTCCTCTTCTTGTTGCAAACTGCACAGCACAGATGCTGTAAACAATATATAATTTCACCGTCTCACTTTGCTGACCATCTAAAACTACAAAAATTTACATCTCTTTCACATTGGTCAGCCATCATCCGTTGTTGATGACGCATGTCCAAGTGTTGACATTTTGATCATATTGTTGTTTTGATTAAATAAATGTCTCAACATATACGCTTTGTTTCACATATATTCACAATACAGAATCTTGAAAATTATACACCTCAGACCCTGTACAGAACAGAGCTGTTCGTAAGAAACAAACCATAAAATCGAGAATCAATCTCCGCTTTCGGTATCCAGGATCTTGATCCTGTTTCCGACATTATCACATAAAAATCTCAGCTAATCAATTAACAGGAGCTACTTTTCCGCTATGGTGATAAAATTGACGTTCATATCATTGGTAGTCTTGCATCCTACACAGGCGCAGTCCAAACTGTGCGCATAAAATATCTCATTGATTCCTTGTCGGAATTCTTGACTCATTACCAGATAGATGAAGAACTTCAGGAACGCGTTGCTGAAACCCAGCCAGAGGAAGTAGAAATGCAGCAGTCCCGGGGACAAGCCGGCGTAGTTGGTGCTCACTTCGTAAAGACGAAGAATGCAAAATGGCAGCCAGCAAAAAGAATACACAAGAGAAATTACGAAGTTAATATGATAGTTCCATGGTCGTGTTTTCCTATCCCGAAACACTCGTTCATACAAGTGGATGTTACCCTTGAAGGCTTTGGTAAAAAGATACGCATTGGTTATGATAAGTGTTATAACTGCAGGTCCGGTTACTAAGAGACCGGCGGTGATGAAGTATGCTTGCTGGTTCTTTGCGTCAACAATGCAAACGAAAGCTTCCGCATAATACTTGGCCTTCTTGAGCGAAAACAAGGGAGGACAACTGAAGCAGAATGCCGCAACCCAGGCGAATCCGATCCAACACAAGGAGCGCGGTGTTGACATCATGATGTCGTAACGTTCGGGTTTCCGGACTGCGACGTAGTGATCGACATTAATCCAGGCCATTGAGTAGAGTCCGGCGATGAGGAAAATGGCGACAAGATACGCTTCGATGCAACAGAAGATGTCGTTCTGAAACACCCATTCTTTGTACAAGGAGTTGAATATTGCGAACGGGGTCACAAACAATCCTAGAAAGAGGTCACTGAGAATGAGCGAGTACAAGAAACACTTGTTGACATTTCTAAACGATTCTGTCCAGCATGCTACCATTAGGATCAAACAGTTGAGGCAGATGATGGCAAGAGTTAGGAATATTGTCACAAAAGTCTCAAAGGTGAACACTGCTTCTGACATCCTGAAGCTCTGTCCGTTCCTTTGGTGATGTACACCTCAGTGATCTGAGAAATATGGGCAGAACATCCTCCGCTTCAACAGAACACAGCTTCAACAGAACACAGCTTTACTAACTGACAAATTAATCCGACACTTTCAAATGTCAGACGACAGCAGCAATTAATTTCCGAGCCCAAGGCAACGACTTCATGGTCTGACTATCTGCGGGTTGCCCGAACGCAACAGATGTGAGAAATAATTATGTAAACTCACAACAGAAACGTTGATAGGATGAATATTCCCACAGATATTTTCAGGTTTTACTACAGCAATCCATGCATGACTGTCCTTTAATCGTATACTGTTGTAAATTCACAAAGAATCATTTCTGAATGGTTTGTAGATATTCCGATGTTAATCCACAAGAGTGAAATTTACTGGTACTAAAACCATATCAAAAAGCAGATATTGGAGTAGCTCTTGAATATGATTCCCATATCAGTTCCGTCAATCATTCACATATCTTGTTCACCACTGGGTCAATCATCAATCCTGGAATTCTCTTTAAACCATTTTGTTCATCACTAATGAATCCTGTTCTTGGAGGATCCATGCATATATCCCTTGTATCATTCACTCGACAAAATCGATGAATTATCTCTTCATCTGGAAAGCCTTGTCACCATCTGCAATTGATAAGGCCATAAATATCAGCTGTCATCAATAATTAATCATTAATTACAAGATATCATCACTTCATTCACATCTATAACAGTTTCACCTGAATAGCAATAAAATCACTTGACATAATTGGACACACGATGGACAGTACTTTTTCGTCATATTCTTCTCATGGTATGTTTTAGATAATTTCCTTCTATCTGTCCTAAATATTATTAATACATACACTGAGTTATTTAGAAAAGACAGAAACCATTTTTTTTAATATTTGGGAAAAGGGTCACAAAACTGAAATGAAGTTGTTCTTGGTAATTGGATTTGAGATAATCAAACATAACAATGTTGGCACACAAGTTTTAATCTAATTTGCAATAAACTTTGCAAAACATATGACTGTACAAAAACACAAATAGATATTCAGTTGGTCTAACTGTAAGAAGACACAACAATATCACAAGATTTGAGGAAACCTATTCACAGAGAAAATAGCTTTGTCCTAAACTAAGACACTTGGAACAAACCCAGTAAAGTTCATCTGAAAACACAACCAACCTTATAACAGACCCTATGAAATTCATCTGAAAACACAACCAACCTTATAACAAACCCTATGAAATTCATCTGAAAACACAACCAACCTTATAACAAACCCAATAAAGTTCAGCGGACAATACAACCTACCTTAAAACATAATCCCAATAAAGTTCATCGGACAACACAACCAAGAATTATATCTCTTTAGAGGGTAAACAGATACCTCAACATCTAAAATATTTTTAGTCCTTTCACTATTTTAATCATAGAATATTTCATAATTTTAAATTTTGTCAAAACCTGCGAAACAACAGACAACATCTCAATGATGATATCCAGTCTGGCCATGATATCCAGTTGTCGAAACTACGAGTCACAACTCACACAATCAGGTTCAAACAACACATTCAGTAAGACCGCCGTAACTTGCATACTCAGCGAGTATGGAAGTGGGAAACCTATCAAGTCTTTGACTGGCATTTAGATGTCATGCACATAGCTGAGGGAATTTAAGGATGTCAAGTTCTTAAGTTTGAGAAACTCAATCAGTTAGAGTTTATGCTTAATCTTTCATCAGGTGAGTTGATGATTATAATAATAAAGCTAATTCTTGTGCCTAGGATCGAACGCAACGTTAAATTATTACCCTGACGGAATTGTACTTTCAAAGCCGCTACTAAGCGATTCACAGACCGTATAGGTTGTACATCCAATTCTAAGGTACCCATTTTGACTGACTGACTGAGTTTGATTTTACGCCGCTTTTAGCAATATTCCAGCAACATCACGGCGGGGGACACCAGAAATGGGCTTCATACATTGTACCCATTTTAAACAGCTGGGTGGACTGAGTGCAATGTGGACGAAGTGCCTTGCCCAGGGACACTACACAGTGACAGTGAGACCCAGATCACAAATGTTGGTGTCTCCACCGGGATTCGAACCTGGACCTTTGGCATCAGAGGCCAGCATACTAACCACTACACCACTGTGCTACATGATGGATGTAAACTGATGATTAGTAAACAAATAATCCTGCTGATGAAGGACTAAGAATATACTCCATCACTGTGTGTTTCTCACAATAAATAGGTTGACATCCATAAATTCTCATCTCTCTGAAACATAAGACAGCTGAGAGTTGACATATTGTTTGGATGAAGACCATCAGGTCATATTTGACCTTCATTATAACCAGTCTTAAGTATTGTGGTGGCGCGTGGTCCTGTGCTCCAAGCTCACGTCACAAATCGGTAAAGTTAAGCAGCGTCGAGCTCAGAGAGTCCTTGGATGGGTGACCGTGTTTGGCAGCTTGACTCCTTGAGTCCTGCCCCACAACGAAGCACATGTGATACATGTGGTCTCACCTTAGGCAAGTGAGTTTGTTCAGTATTGTCTCTGTTCACCCAGCAGGAAAATATGTACCCGGTGGAAAAACTCATATGACCTTCTAGCGCCTAATAGCTTGGGTTATCCAGGGTAATAATGTGCTGTGCCTTGATTGGTAGCGCGATGAGCATACCTAGTGTGGAGTTTGGCGCTATATAAATGGACACATTATTATTATTATTATTATTATTATTATCATGTTCGGGATCCATAAGTGCACAAAGTGGTCAAAACGCTAAAGGATGATCGTAGCCCCATTACACTAAAATACCTGTAGACTTAAGATGGTCGTAGTGCCAATTTTGCAACATTGTCCTGAAATCTGCACAGTTCTTAAATCCAAACCGACTTTCAATCAATGCTTTTTCTCCCTTTTAAGTCTGAAATTCGAGCTATACGATGGCAGCCTGTATATAATCAAGTCTGGTCTAGACAATCCAGTGATCCTCTGAGCAATGTTTCAGTGATGTATCATCAACAAAGTCTGACTGCCAGAACCTTATTGAGTAAGTTTAGTTTCACTTTGCTTTCAGTAAATATTCCAGCAATATCATGGTGGGGACACCCGAAATGGGCTTCACATATTGTACCCCATGATGTGGGGAATTGAACCCGTGTCTTCGTCATGACAAGCGACGCTACCCCACCGCCCCAGAATCGTATTTATACCTCTGAAGACTGGCATATGTTCATGCGGACCTACTCTAATGCTGAATCCCCATCAGTCAATCTTACAGTGTTGAACAAAGTCTGCCACCTCCCACATTGTACAGTGAGTGAGTGAGTGAGTGAGTGAGTGAGTGAGTGAGTGAGTGAGTGAGTGAGTGAGTGAGTGAGTGAGTGAGTGAGTGAGTGAGTGAGTGAGTGAGTGAGTGAGTGAGTGAGTGAGTATTGTTTTACTCCGCTATTAGCAATATTCCAGCAACGTCACAGCGGGGGTCACCAGAAATGGGCTTCACACATTGTACCCATGTGGTGAATCAAACCGGTTTTTCAGTGGGATGAGCAAACGCTTTAACCACAAGGCTATCCCACCTAACCCTGGATAACAATAACAATATCTTGCTGTGGATGACTGTCGACTTACATGACCCAGCTGCCCAGGTCAAACCAAGTCTCTTACCTCCCAGGTTGTACTGATGATGGCTGTCAATTAACATGGCGGCATGAGCTGGCTATTAATCAACAATAAGAATGTTGCATGACATGACCCATCCCGACCCAACAATAAAACCTTTTATTCTAGTAAAGGTCCCGAAAACAACAATCCCTTTCAGACAGTGATCTGTAATGGACATTTCACAAAGGCCACATCAGCAGGGCCACACGGCATGTCAAACACAATAATTACACATGAAATTGACATCCATATGTTGATTACATGGTCTGTCACGTCAATAAACAATTACCCGGATAATTGACATTTTACAGAGTTACTGCTGAACAGTTCGATCATCACATGATTTCATCTTTCACATTACGGAATTAGAAGTGGTTTTAAGGATTTCTGATATAACTACATTCATGTTGATTCAGATGCAAACATGATAAGGGCTGTTTTGTCGAATACCATACACATATAGAAAGGTTGACCTTTATCAAGTGGTTGGCTGAAATGTGATGAATGTCAAATGGTTGTATCACAGCCAGCTGATGCAGTACTCTGCATTCTCAAGTTCCCCGAAATGGTCTCAGGACATGCTACCGTTGCAGAGAGAAATTACCAAGATAGTTGAATCAGTCAGTGGCAGAATTCTGGAGGATGAATACGTACTCATGACTTTGTGTTTGTGTCTTAGGTGTTCTGCAGGGAGTTGAGAATTCAGAATACATTTTCATATATGCCATGTACACTGACTGATATGGGAATGTGCTTGGAGCAGTAAGTGCTGCTAAAATGCACAACTTGTGTCTTAGGTGTTTGGCTGGATATTCCCCAGGGAGTTGAGAATTCATAATATATTTTCATATATGCCATGAACACTGACTGATATGAGCATGTGCTTGGAGCAGTCAGTGCTGCTAAAATGCACAACTTGTGTCTTAGGTGTTTGGTTGGATATTCCCCAGGGAGTTGAGAATTCAGAATACATTTTCATATATGCCATATACACTGACTGATATGAGCATGTGCTTGGAGCAGTCAGTGCTGCTAAAATGTACACTTTGTATCATTTATCATTACACGTATTATTATTTTACTTACCAGGGCCCCATTCCACAAAACGATCGTAGGGCTAAGATGATCATAAATAAATAAAGTTCTCGTGCTTTAACTATAATAATTCAGGGTCAAAGTGTGCTTTATTACAGTGTACATGGTGGTAGAGCAAAGTGTATTTCTTCAATAGCAGTCAATATTTCAAAAATGCTATTTCTTAAAACTAACTTGATATTAGAATATATACTTTCCGAAAAAATATCAGTTTAATCCCAGCATGATCACCTAAATTCTTTCAAGTAATATTACTGAGTATTTCTTTCAACTGAATCATGGGTATGATTTGTGGCAAATGTGTGTACAGTTGATTGCTAGTTTCTGGCTTCAGTTCCGAGAACATACACAGAATGATCTTTATGCATATAAAAATGCCTAGCCGAGAAGAAAATACAATTAAAATGTCAAACACAAGTCAAACCATTTCAAATATATAGACCATGATAAGCAAAGTTGGATTTCACAAAGAAAAAGCCAATCCATAATTTAGAACCTGGAGTGTTGTTATCCATTAAAGATTCCATCACATCAGAAAAACCGACATCAAAGCACCTTACAACAAGTACTAAAATACAAAACAAAATCTTTGGACAACTGAATCAATTTCTCTCCATCCTCTGTATAAGTGAGTAAGGTTTGTTTTATGCCGCTTTTAGCAATATTCCAGCCATGTACTTGGGTCACCCCATGTCATTTTCATTCGTGAAGAAATCATAGACTTTAATATACTTTCATTTTCTCTCACTTTGTCAATCAGCAGTAATCACACGTCTCTGACGTCACTAATGCACGTGCCTCTCACTTTTCATGCTGTTTCTTTAGTTGCCAATGCGCTCTTGTAACAAACTTGGAAAACGCACAAAT